CAGATTTTTCTTTCTTTATCATACTTTAAGTTATTTTGTTTTATTAAGTTCAATGAAATGATTTCCTTATACTCCCCCGTCCTTAAACTTTTCAAGTTTACTATCACATTTTAAAACCCTGCCTTTCTGTGAGTCGTATTTTCCACGTCATCCGACACCCACTTTTCTCACTTATTTATTTTTCATTCGTTTGTTTCAACCAAAAAATAAGCAAATATATTATTAGTTACATATTATTAAAATCTAACTATTCAGTAACCTCAATTTTTCTTTGTTACACTTTTATCTCGTCTGCCCTTGATCAAGGTTGCTGTAAAGTAACAGAAACTTGGAGAAAAACTTAGTTTTATTTAATTTTTTACATATGAAAATATTCGATGTCATTAACCTCTCTATAGGATCAAAAAGACTCGTATCCAGAACCGTGAAAACATTTACAAAAAAGAATAACAGCTTACAGACTTAATACTTCATAGGAACTTAAAACTTTATTGACAATGCCTTAATCCAATTGAAATGTTGTCTACGACAAAATTTATAACTACTATAATTTAATCAAATTTTACACATTAATCACCCTTTCAAGGATTTATTTGTCAAATTATGAAACACCATGGTGAATCGGTTTGTGATTATCTTAATACTTAGAATATGTTTCGACTACATAATTAATTTTGTTTATATAATAAATAAAATTACATCATACTTAAGATAATATCTGTAGCAGATTGCATTGTTATACAGGCGTGATCTTATTATTTAATGATTTTATCTAATAGGGGCTATAGCCATCCGAAGAAAAGAGAAGTTAATAAATTTAGATACTATATAATTATTGATTTATTGCACCTTGATGTTTTAAAAATTGAAAACGTTTCTATTCTATAAGAACTGTATACATTTCAAATACTTATAGATAACGCTAACTTATTTTTTTTATGCGGCAAACGAGCAGACAGCCTACCTGATAGGTAGTCACCGTCGCCCATGGACATCTCCATCGGCATTATTCAGATGCCGACCTTGATTGTGGGAAGATTTAATAAAAAATAATAACTTTCAAATACAAAGATCAGGCTTTAGTTCGACTATCTTTAACCAGTTTCCACAAATATAGACGTATAAGTGGTTAAGAGCTATTTAAGGGAAATTAATGAAATTTTACTGTAATGTATAGCAACAGAAGAATAGAATAATATATAGACTTTTTTGTAGCGTAATAGTTATATTTTAAATAAAGTCAGGTGACATCATCGACATATACTAATGGACATGCCGTACGGGTATAATCTGCAGTTATTATTTGGTTTGAAAAGAGTGAGAGAGATGGCTAATGCTTTCGGTCTAACACTATCTCTTTCCTCATAGATGATTCTTGTATATTCGAGTAATGAGTTAAATTTGAGAGAAAGATAGACCGAAACTTTGTTTCCTCTCTTTCTTTCGGAGTGCCACAATTCTCATCTCTAAGGCATGTCCATTACTACATATATGTCAATGAGTGACACATACTAGGTATAGATGACGTTTGTCACTACTGTCAATGTCATATTATAATACAATTTTTTACATTTCTCTCTGTAAGCAATTGTGATTTTCATCCGAAATAATCGTATGTAAAAACTATTAAATCGAGACAAGCTTTATTTTAATCTTTTGGCATTTAACGCAAAAATATATATTATAGCTATATTATCAGCATTAAAACATAATTTTAATATCTATTGAATAATGCAAATTTAACTTATTATATTATTTTATATAAAGTAAATTAAAATTAATAATCAACAATATTTTATAGATTTTCCAGAAGTATTATTATTTATCTTCTATAAATCTTAACATTATTTTAAATTATCATTTGAAGAGGAAACTTTATACAATAAACGTCATTAGAATTTTAAGTTTATTAAATGTTGTGCTAGAGAAGTATTTTATAAGTACATATATTAAGAGGCAAAACTATAGCGTTTACAATACATATGAAAACAAAACAAAATATATAAGTAATATTTAAAAATATATTCACTTTTGTAAACATAATTACGAACTTAGAGAAATCTATAAGGAAATGCCAATAATTCAAGAAATAGGATAGAATTATTGTACTTTTTAGTAGACGAAATATAGAAATATATGTATACCACCTACATCTTACTAAAATATTGTAGTTTCGGTTAAGTACAGTTTCGAATTCCAGCTAATAATATATTTTTTCTACAATCTCAGTTTCAATTTGAAGTTATTATTCGTTGATATCGAAAATATAAATACTGTGATACCTATGTAATCAATAGGGATTAAAATTTTAATCAGCTATAAGATTTCGTCACTGTTGGCCAAAATTAACAAATACTATACTTTTCAAATGGAATGTCAGACGCAATTGGTTGCAATAAATCAAAAAATATTAATCGCGCTTTTCGATGGATGGACCAGGCACCCGCACAGTGAATGCTGAGAATTTCAGCTACTTATGTCACACAATCTATATATTAAGCTGCCTTCCGTGTAGCATAGACAATTTTTGAATAAGTATATCCATACAGCCTTTTTAGTCATACAACTTTTGATATCTTCACGTTCTGAAAATATTTACCTTCCCGGGCTATTCAAAATCTGTACTAATATGACTAGTGGCCTGACATTAAATTATAATTCTTTATATATATGAGGAGAATTAAGTATTGAAGACTATTCGAAAAGTATGACAGTACCAAACAATTCTACATATATTCTACAATTAGAAGATGACTAGCGTATAAAAAAGAACAAAAGCCCAATATATAATTTGATACAAGTTCATAATATAATGTCTCATATTGCGTACCTAACTGTGGCGAAGCCAGAAAACAAGTTATCTTTTAGTCAGTACATATAGAAGCATTTTAAATATTCCTAGGTGTATGACACACTAGTTGACAGTTTGGATGTTTCATTTTTGACATTTTGTTGAAGTGTCGCAAAATAAAAACTTACTGTTTCTTCTAAAAATCTTTAAATGAAGATTTTATATTACTTTAAGAGATGATGGCATCATAAATTACGAAGTGCGTTTACGTGCGGTATGTAATAATTTATCCTTAGGAATTAGCATTCCTACCAAGCTGTGAGCCAAGTCATAAGACGAGTTTTATGTATGTTTGATAAAACGTAAACATAAACAGTGTTTTGTTTTTTTCTATCAGTGTTTATTCTTATTACGAACATTCATCAAAACTAAAACAATAATTAATATAAATCCCACATTTATATAGTAGTACTAGTTTTTGCCCGCGACTTCGTCCGCGTTAGTTTGGTCAAGAGTAATATATGTAGGTATAGCTGACCGGGCGAACTCTATTCCGTGTTAGAGGCCATAAATAATCAGGTTTCTCCTGTTTCAATCAAACAGAATGATTGACATATTAGTTAGTTGTCAAATCTAATGTCAAAAAAACGTTTGTATGGGAAATAGAAAAGGGCTGTTTTTAGGGTTTTCCCGGCAATTATTCCAATTTTCCTCACCTTTTAAACCTTTCCTGGACTTCCAGGTGTATTTCAAAACTAAAATTAGCCAAATCAGTTCAGCCGTTCTCGAGTTTTAGCGAGACTAAGGAACAGCAATCCATTTTGATATATATAGAAGATAGAAGATTATCATATATATTTATTTTATCTTATTAACATACAAGTGAAATTAAATAATGAGAACTAAAACTTTCGCGAGTTTTATCCATTTCAAATGAAAGTTATATTTTTCGCATCTACTACGAATGCTTTATTTTTGGTAAAAAAAAACGTACTCCCGATGTTTTAGTTACTTCTCAGCAACTGTGATCACGGGTAGACGAAACGTCGGGAGTATGTTGTTTTTTTACAAAAACAAAGCACGCGTAGTATGTATACGTGAAAAATATTAGTTTAATTTTAGTCAAATTAAAGCCGATAACAATTTTTACCGAGGTTAATCAAACAATTATTAAAATAATCTCAACTACAAAATCAATTAGCATAATACAAAAGATTACTTGATTAAGTCATTTAATGCTAATTTTGTGTAAACGCGAAAACAATTACTTTTAATAAATCGAAACGCTGTTGTTTTAACCTTACAGCAATAAATCAGGTTAGCCTAACGCCGTCAACTTATTTAAGTAAACTTAAAATTGGCCAAATAGGTACCTATATACGTCTTCGTATTTTTATTTTATTGTCTTCTTTAAATATAAGTATCAACGTGTGTTAAGTAGACGAAACATCAGCGGGTGTAATACCGTTAAATAGATAATATTTCATGACTCCTTACGTTTGACGCGCCTGACTCCGCGGAAAAAATGCTTTCATATGAAACAGAAGATACTAAACAAGCAATGTACTGTCATTGTTATCCTAACATCGGCATAATCATGTACTTTAAGGTGTAGGTTAAAGTCGATGTTAAAAAAAAAATATTGGAGACGAAACTTCTCAGCATTCCATAGATTCACTGTGAGGGTGCCAAGTCCATCGTCGAAGAAAGTTTCATAGCTTTCCGAGAACCTCTGACTTACCGAAAACCACATCCTATATACTATTATATATATAGAAATATAATTAAATATTAAGTTAATGTCAAAACTCAAAAGTGGTATTCAGAGCAGGCGTCAATAATTTCTATTGACGTATTAGAATATTGTATCATAATATATAATCTGTATATGTAAAATAAGTTTATGGATTTACAAAATGTTCTATTTGTAATAGAATTTTTATATTCTTCAATATTTAAAATAATAAAACAATTATCACCAAGATAATACTGATTAAAAAGTAAATTACTAGTTGTTTCTCTTTTTAGCATTTCATTATGATAACCAAGTGAGACTAGTGTCATTGTCATTTAAACGCGCGATAAGTCTATATGTTATTTTGCTCCTTGCTTTCATTGTATTCACAATTTTATATAAGCAACAATATATCTCAGTTTCCATTGAGACGAGTTACTGTGTTGAGTTTTACTTAAAGAGACAAAATAGAAAATGGCGCAAAAAGTCGCAGCTGTTACCGGTTCGAATAAAGGACTGGGTTTCTTCGTAGTCAAAAGACTGTGTCAGCGCTTTGATGGTATTGTTTACTTACTATCAAGGAATAAGGAAAGAGGATTGGAGGCGGTGAGAAAATTGAATAAAATCGGATTAAAACCTGAGTTTCATTTATTGGATGTCAGTGACAAAGAAAGTATAAAGGAATTTGCTGAATTCATTAAAACAAAACACGGCGGCCTGGATGTTCTTGTGAATAATGCAGCCATTATGGATTATAATACGGTTTATCCTACTTACGAAGGCGCCAAACACAATATCGACGTTAATTACAGAAGTTTATTAGACATTGAAAAATATTTATATCCTTTACTAAGAGATGGCGCTAGAGTTGTCAATGTGTCAAGCATGTGTGGCCACCTTTCCAATTTACGCAACAAAAAGTGGCTAGATTTATTAACGAAGGAAGATTTAGAAACTGAAGATATCAATAATTTTGTTGATGATTATTTGAATAGCGTTAAGAACGGAACCTTTAGAAAAGAGGATTTTGCTGATGAGGGTAAGCATGCAGAACATAGAGTATCTAAAATCGCAGTGACAGCTTTGACAATGGTACAACAAAGGAAATATAAAAATATATCAATAAACGCTGTCCATCCCGGTTACTTAAAAACTGATATGGCAACAAATGGAGTAAGAGATCCAGAAGAAGCAGCTGATCTTATTGTTTATCTCATTTTAGACGCATCCCCTAATCTAAAAGGCGCGTTTATGTGGGATAACAAAAAATTGGTTGATTGGTACGACGTTGATGGTGACTATTATTATAAACACGAGGATTAAAATTTAATATCCAAATTCAGAATTTAGTTTTTATTATCGTTTAAAATGTAAATTAATACATTTTATTATTTTCAATTAACATATTAATCATAAATAAAAATTGTATTCTACATGATGTTAAATCAATTTTAATAAATTTAATTAAATAAAAACTCTTGAATGAAAATCATTTCTAATTTCTTTTGTGTTATTTCCTCACAAAATTATTTCAAAATTTGAAACTAATAATAATGTTGAAAGGAACGCATATTTTGACAACCGATCGAATTTGAAGTTACCGAACCACTGACAGTAGAGCTTAGGTATTCCGTTCGTTGGTGCGCATACTTTTTGTAATTATTTGAATTAAATTTATTATATAGTAAAGCGCTATTTAAATTTTATTTTGAATGAAATAGGCCTCGTAAATATAACATATATATATTTAACCTAAGTGGCATACAATCCGATAGGTAAGTCGTCTCAAATTTTATTATATTAGAATTATTAGCGAAAAATGACATTTTGACGAAAGGAATATCGCATACTGTACAGATGTGCGATATTTGTTTACTTATGCGTTTACAGTTACGTGTAACAAGAATTTTATGCAATAGATAAATTGCAAGAGGTTGACGTTGTGCCAAAATAATTCAATACATCTTGAACTCTGCATTAGTATTCATCGAGACTCACTGCGCAATCTAGCTTTCAAATACCGTTGCTGTTTATAAGTTTTGGTGACTATTTTTGTAAAGAATGTCATCAACTTTTTATATATTTAAAGTTTGTTGACCTTGTACTGGTGAAATCTAAATATAAAACGATACTGTGTTTTCGAGCATGAAATTATAGTGAGCTAATTATGAGTGGTTTAGGATGAATTGAGTCTACCTTGAACTTTATTTATGAGGATTATTAGTTATTATAAATAAGGAAAAGCAGATATATTTAGAGGAATGTATAATGGTCTAAAACTGTGAATACACAATGGTTTTAGTGAATACAGTTCGCATAATGGCATCGTTTGCGGCTCAGGCTGCATTACGATCTCGGTGGAGTTCATTAATTGAATCTACGAGTGTCGATGTGCCGGGGGAAGTGACCGATGGTGTCCGATCCGTTGTTGGATGGCTCAAACAGGCACGAGTTGATGTTGTATGGATGTTTTAATATTGATATGATAATATTAATCTACTAATATAAATTATAATTATATTAAGAAATATAATATTAAATATTATGAAAATATAAAATATATGTATATTAATATTATCCTATCAGTATACTGTATCTAGTAGTGCCTTGATTTGTAGTTCCCTTATATAACTATAGCCTTATATTCGTGAATGGTAGTTTTTAAATATATTTAATATTTCATTATGACATTGGCATAAAATTCAACAGTTCCAGTGTGAATGAATCCTTATATTTAAAAAAGAAAATGTCTTTCCCCTTTTTTTATATTTCAATTAGTAATAGTATCTATATATTTATATAAATTCATTAACATTTTTTTCAAATATTGGATATTCAAAATAGATGAATGTAGTATTGAAGTGACTAGCATGTTTGATGCACATAATAGTTGTTCTTTTATCAGAAGCATAATTATATTTTAAAATAGAACAAAACATACTTCATAAAACTATAGTTATTTGAAACAAAATTGGCACTTTTTTTATGAATAATCTGTTACATATATAGTCCTTATTACAGAACTATATACAAATACTGCTCACTGCATTAATTATTATCATTCATACTCTATATTATATATTTTTGAAGTCTCAATCTCATAAAAGTATCCTGTGAATTTACCCTTTTAATTTCAATTATTAGAAGAAACATATAAACTAGGGTAGTGAAAAATAAAAGCTACATTTAATACATATTATAATGTATATTACAAATTTGTTGTAAAAAAAAAGATTTCTATTTTAAAAACATTCAAAAGAGCTGAATGCTTTTAGTATAAATTTCAGAAATATTTTTAAATAATTAAAAGTTGGAACAAATTCATGTAGAATGCTAAAGCTAAAGCTTTTACTTAATATTATACACATTTTTCTCAATTTATGATCTTCAATGAATGATAATTTATAAGAAAAAAAAATCCATATTATACATTAAATCACTTTGATATTTCATTGGAATAAAAAAATAACAAAAAATTGCTTATCTCTTGACAAGCCTTGAAGATCTTAGCCTTCATAGACATGTATTGATTTGATTTCGACCCATATTTTGTTGATTTATCATTAAATTTGCACTAATTTAGCTTGTTCTTTTTATAATTTTGTAACGATATTTTGTAATTATACACCAGAATTGAGAAAAAAAAATTGGAAACCAAAAATCTGTTCTAAGGCGACTATAAAAAAATACTAGTTTTTGTCCGCGGCTCCGCCAACTTAGCTGTCACAATAATATATGAGATAAAATTTAAATAAAAAAATTACGAATACACACCTTAATTTATACATTCGTAAGACTAAATTATGTTTTTTTTTTATCCAAAGTAATTTTTATACAACTAGTTGCAACATTTATTTCAAATTATAAGAAAGTTTTTTAAAGGGTTACTTAATATTATCTTAAAATTAAACACTTAACGTAAGAACTTGAGATATCTGAAACAAAAACTGTAATAATATATCGGTGTGAGACTTCTTAATATTTGAACTCAGCTTAATATTTTCATCTATTCAAGTATGTACTTTTATCCATAAAAAATCATTTACATACCCTCATGTATATTATTGTGAACTTCATCTAACAGGATGCTATCCATTCCCAAACAATTTATTCTGACACCTTCAAGGCAATTGTTCTGACATTGCGACCTTGAGCCACCCTTTATCAATTTCGGCTTGGGTAATCCCAGCGTGTTTGGACCCGTGATAACAGGCCAAGTTTCATACTGTTACGATAACATCAAGGTCTCATTAATTATTCCGTCTCTTTAAAGGTATTTGAAGGTTCATTAGTTGGTCAGTAGGCCAGTTCTCTATGAGATTTTGTTGTTCAACTTAGCCGTTTTAAAACTGCCGGATTTTTTTTTGTAATGAAATTTAATTTCCTACAATTTTGCTCGTATCTTGGCAACCTGATTTCAGAAAGTTTATTATAGAAAGGAACAAATAATAGTGTCTACAATACTAATAAATTAGAAATATTGTATAATAGCTTTCCGCCGGAAGTTTCGCCCGCGTGGAGTTCGGTTATATCGCGTTGCCAAGAGAACTTTTCAAAAGTCTGGGATAAAAACTATCCTATGTTCTTTCTCGAGGTCAACTCTATCTCTGTACCAAATTGCATTAAAATCAGTTCAGTGGTTTAGGCGTGAAAGCCTAACAGACAGACAGACAGAAGGAGTTACTTTCGCATTTATAATATTAGTAGGGATACAGTAATAATCTTTGTAGTTAACACTCCAATGGAATTTATATGTATTACATCCTACATGTTATTTTTCCTAACGACTTATTATACCTTCATGTGTTTCACAATTTTTTTGCCGTCAATAGTTGGTAGTGATATCTTGAAAAACCGGTCTAATTATAATAATCCACTTATTAATCAATGACTTAATTATAAAGACTGTAAATTTAATTTATTAGTATCGTGAGCACGCAACATCGATCATAGAGACGAAAAAAACGTGAAATTTATGCGTCAATCAATCATATATTCGTTGCTGTTTTCTTAAGTAACCATTTTTTTTATCAAAGATACCTTATCAGTATTGGGAAAAGCCTTATAGTTAATATACTACTACTTTTTAAGCTATATCTGAAACAAAGTTATACCAATTTTAATATTTTATTTCATACTCAGATTCTTTTTTTTTGTTGTTGTAAGTTGTTGCGTTACAAATTGATGAATCTAAATCTCTCCTATTGACTGTTAAGCGTAACATTATCAGGTTTATTTTTAAATTCTGTACAATAACTTTTTTTACATTAATCACTTCCGCGTTTGAAATACTCTTGATAAATGTTTGCCAACTACAAACTAAAAGTAATTAATCGATAGATAAAATATATTTATCGTCGGAAATATTTTATAATTCAAAAATTTATTCGACTTTACAATATGAAAATTTCACTTCTAAGAATTTAATCATTCTATGTTTTAATTAAATTCGTTTTAGAAAAATCTGAATTGAATAAAAAAAATGTTCCGTTGTGATTTGTGAATATTTTCTTTCGATTGCAATAGATTGTCAAATTATATTCATATACAAAAAGGAGTAGGTTTTCAGGAACAAAAATATCTAGTACTTTTACATTTGTTACTTTTATTTACTTTACTATTCTACTTGAGTTAACTCAACATTCCCTCGTCTCCAATTATTTATTTAAATTTTCATAATTGTAAAATCTAGCTTTTTGTATGTTATTATTGCACTCTGTAAAACCTTTTCTAATTTTTATAACGCCCACCCATTTCAGTTTTATCGCAAGTATATCTCATTAGATCGCTTAAAACTCTCACAAACTAGTTTTTTGTTATTGATAATCACTGAAATGAGCATGTTTAGTAGTGTAGTTAACTTATTAGACAAATCTGAAAGACAATTAAATTTTATTAGTGTCATAATAAATATATTGACAAAAAATAAGCATTACGTCCAAAAGAAACTAGTGGACTGTGGTTCAAAGTGATGTTTTTTGGTATAGCCATAAAATGTAAGGTCTTTTCGCAGGCGTCTTTGGAAGTGCGTCAAGTGGGCAGAAGAGCAGTGAGCTCGATAGCTGGTAGAGGAATGGCTGACGACGTTGTAATAGTACATTTCAACGATGTATATAACATCGAACAAACTACCAGTAAGTATTAAATATTAGGAGTAAACAAAGACATTACAATTTACAACAGTCCGTATATATTACCAAAAAACAATAACTCAATTATCGAAGAGTTGTGAGACATTATTGCTACTTAAACTAAAAAATAAGCTACCTCACAATTATTCAAATAAAATTACAATTAGATCTAATATTCCGTATATTTCATCTAAATGCAAGTATACTTGTACAAAACTATTACTTTTTTTTCATAATTGGAGAAAAATTGTTGCATTGGCATATTATATTTAATAATAAATTTATTTAATCAAAATTGTCGTAAAACAATTTGTATTTCAGTCTTATACGTAATAATTCTTGTTTAGACTTAATTTAGATGTTGTAAGCGGTCTATTTATGTTTTTTTACTAATATAGTAAATCTTAATTATTCTTTAGATACTGAACCTGTTGGTGGTGCTCTTCGCTTCAGCACAGCGGTAAAAGCCTTACAGCATCTCAATCCCCTGGTACTCTTTAGTGGGGATGCTTTCTCACCTAGCATGTGTGAGTTAATTTGATCTAAGACTTTCGAGTATACATTCATTTAAATGAAACTAATATTTTTGGATTACTAGGCGTATTTAATATATTTTTTAAACTACACACCACCGGCGTTTACTTTTAACCACGATAATACTTCCTTTGTCTGAACTTTTAAACGTAGACAGAGCCTTCACATTATATACAGGGTGACTGGTGAATTACTATCGATACTTGAGGACGTGATATTTGACGATCATATATGACAAAATAAAAATGAATATAACATAAATATTAATAAACTTCTAAGTAAAGTTAACCAAAAGTTATGTAATTAATTACGCATCGTGTGAACACCCTACAGATTAGGTATACACACACACTCACACACACGCGTGCGGCGGCGTGGTGTTGTATCAGCACGCCGCCGCACGCGTCCACACTTGGAACACTTGGAACGTGTCCACACTTAATTTATTTATACGTAAATTTGGTAAAAAATTAAGTACCTATTTTTTTTACATAATTCGAATGAGAATCATGTACCGAGTATTCTCCTTAAATATTGATAGTAATTCACCAGTCACCCTGTATAAGGTTCTTTAGATTAATCAGTTAAAACTCAACTTTTAACATTTATAATATTGTCCCTTGGATTTTCCGTTAACACCTTATTTATTAATGTTCTTTTAACATTCTCATTAGTTTTCCACGGTCCGATTATTATATGCCTTCCATAGTATATCTTAGATTAATATCTTCACACTTTCCATCAGATTAATATAGTCTCAATTCTTCACACTTATTACAAAGCTATCACGTTTAAACAAAGACATTTTAAACAATACTTAATCAACTATTAGTAATTATCCAATAAAAATTAATATTACTAGCCTATCGCATGGAATTGCTTTTAATTGAAACAGTTTATTATCTTACTAGTTTTTGCCCGCGACTTCGTCCGCGTTAGTTTGGTCAAGAGTAATATATGTAGGTATAGCTGACCAGGCGAACTCTATTCCGGCTTAGAGGCCATAAATAATCAGGTTTTTCCTGTTTCAATCAAACAGAATGATTGACATATTAGTTAGTTGTCAAATCTAATGTCAAAAAAACGTTTGTATGGGAAATAGAAAAGGGCTGTTTTTAGGGTTTTCCCGGCAATTATTCAAATTTTTCTCACCTTTTAAACCTTCCCTGGACTTCCAGGAGTATTTCAAGACTAAAATTAGCTAAATCGGTTCAGTCGTTCTCGAGTTTTAGCGAGACTAAGGAACAGCAATCCATTTTTATATATATAGAAGATTACTTTATATCAAGAGCGACCCGTAGAAAACGGAAAAGCTAACCTCGCAGAAGTTATGAACTTTACTCACGCAAACAAAATGCTAGAAACAAACATTAACGCTAAATATTTTCTTGTTCAAGTAGCATAAAAACTTACGTAATTAAGAAGTTTGCGAATTTATTTATAATTAAGCCATTGAAAATTTACGATCTTTTAATATTTCGTGTCAAACTGATAATATACAACAAGGCATTTCTTTCTCATAACTAGTAGCTAATTTAGTTTAAGAAACATTTGTGATCCTACCCTTCATTCCTTAAAAACTTACATGAATTCAGAAAGATTTGGATTCATCGAAGAATAATTCTCAGAAATAGACGTTGCTGATGCAAATTAGTTTTTAAAAATTAATAAACTAGTATCTATTTTTACAGTAAGCACGTTCACAAAAGGCGAACAAATGGTGCCAGTACTGAACGAAATAGGAACTCATTGTGCCGTATTTGGCAACCATGATTTTGGTGAGTCGCTAGAACATTTGATTAAACCATTTGATTTATTGTTAGCCAATTTGATGGAACGTTATTGAGTCTTTTGTTCTAGATATAGAATATTTTATATTTATTTATACTTATAATCTCTATTAATTTTGAGTATTCTGATAACAAAGATCCTGATACAATATTTGAATAAAAAACAAGATATATAGAAATATTAAATATATTGTGTCTATTTTAAATTTGAAACTTAAAATTAGTTACCTACATTCTACTTCTTAGTTACCTACATACTTCATTCACAAAAGCAGTTTAAAACATCACAAGTTTTTCCATAATATTAAATACTTGCCTAAAATTAGTCTAACAAAAGATATACACATATATTTTCTTTGGAAATATTCCAATAACAAAAGGACTGTTCCAGATTTCGGTCTAGACGTGCTATCTAACCTGGTATCACAATGTAACTTCCCCTGGCTGATGTCGAATGTTATAGACAACGAAACTGGGAGACCATTGGGTGATGGGAAGATCACTCACGCTCTGATGTGCAATGGACATAAAATTGGAATGATCGGACTTGTAGAACAGGTATGAAATATTTAGCGCAATTTAATAAATTGGAGAAAATTTTCTACTTCATATTCGAAAGAAGAAAGTCTTAATTATTTTTTTTTTGTTTTTGACTCATTGTTTTAATAGAGATCATGAAATAAATTACTTCTTCATTCTTGTTCTACCTGGCTATTTCCCAGCTATAGCCAGGGTCTGCCTTACTACCTTACTCTTTTGGGAATCAGCATCAATCAGTGATGTCTAAATACTCTTAGAAAGTACATATGACTCGGAAAAATCACATTGGTACTAGCCCGAGCCAGGATCGATCCGCGCCCTCGTGCATAAGAGGCGGGCCTTTTAACCACTAGGCCACCACTGACTCCAAATGAAATTAATCCTTCATTATTCTATCTTATGTCTGAAATGTTTTAGGAGTGGTTGGAAACTTTAGCAACGATTAACCCAGAAGAAGTAACATTTATAGATTTCTTACAAGCTGGATCAAAATTGGCGTCGCAACTTAAACAAGAGGTATTGACACGGAAATTTTAGCAATAAATTAAAAGATAATTATAGTAGGAAAGATTTTAAGAAAATAATAGATTAATGCTTTTGTTTATAGGGTTGTGAATACGTGATAGCGCTAACTCATATGCGGACTCCGAATGACATCAAACTTGCTGAAGGCTGTACGGACATTGACCTTATTTTGGGGGGACATGACCATGTCTATGAAGTTTTGGAGGTAAATTCCCCTAAATCTACAAATTTCATCCATTTAATAGGCAATAAAATCATAATATCATGATTGTTCTCAGTTGCAAGATTAAAAGACATTGCCTTATGCTTTAATTTATCCTTTTTAGTAAATTTTGCATATATAAGGACTAGTATTTTTTGTCTAATTGAATAAAACTCCCAAAACCGTCCACAAATAACAATTTTAACTCTATTCTAAATACAAAACTAAATCATTAGTCAGTCACATCCGACATCCCCAATACAATATTCCGTATGAGCTAACAATATCTTAAATATTGTTCACAGATAAACAACAAATACATAGTCAAAAGCGGCACCGATTTCCGTCAGTTTAGCAAAATTAATATAAACTTCGGCGCAGAGAATATCAAAGTCGACATCTCAGATGTTAAAGTCACCAGCAATATAGCTGAAGATCCCGTACTAAAAGGAAAAGTCGAGAAATACAGTAGTAAGATTTACTTACACTACATTTACAAGGAAATTTATTGTCATAAACATGAGTTGACTGTTGATCCATATTATGCTCTTATAAACTAACTAGCTTTCCGCCCGCAGCTTCGCCCGCGTGGAGTTTTCAAAAGTCTGGGATAAAAACTATCCTATGTTCTTTCTCAAGGTCAACTCCATCTCTGTACCTAATTTCATTAAAATCAGTTCAGTGGTTTAGACGTGAAAGTGTAACAGACAGACAGACAGAGTTACTTTGGGATTTATAATATTAATAGGGATTAATATTTTTAATGGACCTTTTTTTTCAAAGCTATGATAGACGGCAAGATGGATGAAGTTCTTGGCAAGTTTTGTGTTCCTCTAGAAGGAAGGTTTTCTGTAGTGAGACGTCAAGAGTGTAATTTAGGGAATTGGGTGTGCGATGTTCTTCTAGCAGCTACTGGGGCTGACCTCTTATTGCTCAATAGCGGTACTTTCAGATCTGATCAGGTAATTTAGATTTATCATGTAGAATGTTTTAGACGGTATTTTTATTGGTGAAATAAATTAAACACATCATATAAGATTTAATACGTCCTAGCACTGTTACAGATTATAAAGATTGTACTAATTAATTTCAATATGTGATCTTAATAGCTATGGATACTTTTCATTATTGCAAAATGTATAATTTCTGTTCTATGAATTTGTTTGTTAATAATATATGTATATTTCGTAATAAGTATTGCAATGTTAGGAAATATATGTATACATATTGAAATAAAAATGTAGATACACAAGTTATTCATCAGAATCTATGGTACATAGCTCGCAAATAATAAAAAGTACCGCTTTACCAGGTCCATCCGGCTGGAGATTTTACTCTTAGAGATCTATCTACAATAATACCGATGAGAGATCCGCTGGTTGTAGTGGAAGCGTCTGGAGAGACCGTGATAAAGGTTCTAGAAAATGCAGTCTCCAAATACCCAAGTCTGGAAGGAAGATTTCCGCAGGTAGGGGAACTATTATACATATTCAGACAAATTTTTTAGCCTGTATGAATAAAATATTAATTTACCCTATATTGACCCTATGCTGAATAACGTTTAGTAAGTTATTCCTTGTCTTTATACACTGCATGATATTTTAACGTATTTTTTAAATATAGCTTTCAATTTGGACTACTGCAAATGTATTAATTGGCCAAAAACTTTACTGTAACGGAAGGTAGTTTTAGAAACGAACCCCAGAAATTATAAGTTGCAATAAATGATGATAGATGTCGTTACTGGTATCCTACATCTCGCTGTCGAAATTTTTAACAATATGATAAGAGGTTTCTCATTATAATACCTTCTAATTAGTCGATGTTCTTACACACAATTTTTGCAAACGTCTCCCTAAAATGGAGATGTTAATAAAATTTATATATTAAATAGGTCCTATCAAGACCAATTTTATTGATGTCAGTTTAATAATACTCCTAATCCTATTAATGTATAAATTTATCTACAATATGTAATTTAAATTAAGTATGGAAGAAAATAATGGGACTAAATTTTACTGCTCAATTTAATTTTTTTAAGTCTTTAAAGTTTTATTCTAGTAACTAATAAAAACAATAAAATAGCTCCAATTTTCCGTTTCCCTTAAATAATATCTCCATTGTAATAATAATAAAAGAAAAGGCATATAAAAAATATAACTGGATAACAACCCTTGTTCTACTCCTTCATGATATTCGAAGATCAAATCCGTCTTCAAATAAAGTCTTAGGATACGCTTACTATTAATCCCTAAACCATATTTGTGCATTGTAATTATATATTTAAGATTATCTAAATTTTTAAATATTTCTTTATTTTTTGGTGAGAGAACATTTCGTTAGCATTAGAACTTCCCAGCGCTTTGAGGAAGGCAAGTAACCTCATCTATTCCATTAAGAAATCAAACCTACATCACTGTGGACCAAATGACCATTTTGATTACTTAATCTGTGATTGTTTTGATTACCTAGAACTTTTTTGGATAAGTCAATTAGAAAATTTTATTTTAACTTTGTATGTTAAGTATTAATAAGTTAGTAGTGACAAATGCTTGGCATTATTACCAATAAAGAATATATCATAAATCCTCTTCAACAAAATATTCGAAAAGTTACATTTTGATTGACTAGTGCATTCTAACATATAGAAGGTAGTTTTAGAAACGAACCCCACTTGTTGTTAGTTCCGATAAATTACGCCAGATGTCGTTACTGGTATCCTACATCTCGCTATCGAAATTTCAGAGTAGATAATAAGGAGGCTTTAGAGGATCGCTTGTTCAAGGCACGCGGTGTATATTTTGCCTTAAATTTTTGAAGACGTCTCCCTAATGGGGAGATGTTGAAAAGCGAATGACGGTAGTTTGAAAAAAAATAGTAAGACCGGTTCAAATTGACCGTAAATTCAATTTATTATATAATATTTGTTCTAAAGAACTTTTAAAAATTGCTCTCTTTAAATCCCTAAATTTTATTTTTTGTGTGCACTAAAGAAGTTTTTTGCACTATGTGATTTGATAGTTACATGAGCCGTTACTTGAAATATTTTATGAATTCTTAAAGGAGAAAGGACAAAATATATTCACCTTATAATATGTTGGTTCGTTGGTTCTTTAAAATCCTATATTTGTTTATAAGTTTTAAGTAAAATATATAAAAAAACTCACGCAAAACATAAAACGGTACGAAAACGGTCTTTTTACTAACAAAGTCTGCAAAAACACAGGGGAAATTTAATATGAATAAAATTAGTTCCCATAAATGACAACAGATGTCGGTACTGATATCCTAGATCTCGCTATCAAAATACCAACTGAAATAATAAGAACAGCCTGTACATCGGTACGGTATCGCTTTTTAATATGTAATTCTATCTTAAGTTTAAGTTGCTTATAATTTAGGCATGTAAATAAGCATAGGTTAAATTTAGGGTATTGTATCGGAGAATATAACGTGGTAGTCTTCCAATTTTCGACTGCTTTCAGAATTTTTTGAAGACATCTCTTATATTAAGAGATGTCAAAAAGTTCCTTAAAACCTATCCCCTTTTCCGGGTCTAGTAACAATAAAAAATATGAAGTAATTTAAATGAACAATCTGTTGGGCTAGTTTATCTAAAAAATATATAAAGCTAAATACTCTAAAATTTAGAGTTTAGAGTCTAAATAAAACCAGACATTGGTATTAAAGCAGAAACAACGAAATATGAAATGGACGAAGTATATGTTTTGTCATATTTCGTCCAAAATAACTAAAATTATACCTTATGCCCAGGACAAATACATGAAATATAAAGTACTACTAAATCGTTGTAATTACTTAAGCTGAAACTTTTATAACATGACTTAACATATTTTATAAGGCCCTTTAAAAGTAATTTGATGTAAATATATTTCGTTGTACGATTATGTAGCCGATTGGCAATTCCAAAAAGATGTTCAGTGAATTAATTGATTTATTTTATTTAATGTCTTCTATCAAACTGTAAAGTGATTACTATACCTTTACATGATATATATTCGTGACAATAAAATATATACATACTTACTCTATTTATATCTAATATGAAAAATTTTAAAACTATTTTTAAGGTGGGACACCTTTTAAAACGCCTATATTTTTCTAGGTAGCCGGAATATCTTTTGCTTTTGACCCATCAAAACCTCCAGGTCAAAGGATCGCTCAAGAGGTGATAAAAATTGGAGATGAATATCTACAGAAGGACCAGAAATACAGATTAGCAATAAAGCAATATCTGCACGAAGGGAATGACGGATTTAGCATGCTGAAGGATTGTCCCATTCTGGTAAGATAACTTCTCTCAATTTTAGAAGAAATATCATATTTTAAGATAAACAGTGTGAGAGATAGCACCGAACCTTGGAGTACACCAGCGTCAATGGACATATGTTTCAACCATAAGATTATAACATATGTTCTCTTGTTAGCTCGTCTTTTATATGATCCACCGCAAAAAAGCTAGTGACTTGTATAATCCCAATGGTTATCCATAGGACATAATTTCTATAGAAGAACTTTATACAAAGTCGATCAAAGACCTTATCAATATAAAGGCTGATTGACAAAGCTGATTCAGTTAGATATGCTGTAAGATCCTCAGCGATTTTTCCTCAACGAAAACAGTTTTAGCCATCACTAAGAAGATTCTGGTAGATAACCCAAAATTTGCTCATTGTTGATTCGCTCCATTATCATTAGCTTAAATCATTGCGCTAGGTGCGTTGTGTCAATCGCACGTATTGTGTATGACATATCAGTTTTTTGGTAGTGCGTTCTATTCGTAGTAAAGAAAATAAATGAATTCAACAGCCAAGAAAAGGCAAAGCAGAACTGTTTCCTTTTTGTGAATTTGGCAAGCGAATCTTCACTTTGGTGGAATGAAAATGTCTATTTTCTCAACATCAAAAGCACTTAATACAACAACAGAATTCCAAAATTTATTGAGATTTCAAAGAAATCTGTACCGACTTTTGCCATATAGAATATTGCCAAAATACTTGGGAAATATATCTTTTATCCCATTTATATCAACATCTAAACTTCTAAGTAGATTACTAGATACTCAAAATCATCCATGAATATTCCAGGTTTCAGAAGATATGTGTCCAGAGGTTGGCATGGCCATTCAGAATCACTTCCAAGCTATTAACGTCCGCACTGGCCGCGCTCGTCCTTCCAAACATAGACAGTCACTCGTCACTCTTAGTAGACGGTAAATAATATAATAGTAGATACATCTTTGTACTCATTACCACAAAAAATATGCTATAAAGCAAAGCTAAAACTGTTGGCAAGTAGAGAACTTAGTATTTTATCATACTGATTAAGATAATATAAAAGTTATTGAGTATTCTAAGAACTTCATGTTTACATACACAGAAAAAAACTATTTAAGTAACAAATTTTGCTGAAAATCCAGCAATTTTAATTGTTTAACTAAAAATCTAAGTAATGGATCAATTTCATTTGAAATTAGTATCATTAGTTGTCTCTTCAAGTGGTATTTGGGACAAAACATAGCCTATATATTCCAAAATTGCTGATAGAAACTATTAAAATTGTTGTAGTAGTTTTTGCTACCATTAATAATAAAAATACATCCAAAGTTCAGTATTATTAGTTTCATTAGGAATAAAATTCATGTTTTATAACATGTGACTCTCATTTCAGGCATAGTCTAGTCAAAATGTTGGACAACAGCGAGTTGGATGGACCTCCGCCTCTAAGAAGAGCATCATCAGTAGCAGTAGAACCATCGCACAACACACATCACAGGTAATATAACAGAAACACAAATTATGTTACGTTTCAAAACACAGAAGTTTTTGCGAGCAATCTAAGGACTATAGATGAGTAAAATTTTGATAGAAAGGCCTTAAATATTTAAAATCTTAAAACTATGTATACATAGTTACAAATTCTGTACTATTTTGAATTATCAAAGAACCAAGAAACCATTTAGTTTTGCATCTATATGCTTATAGGGCTTTTGTTCTAATATTATTAAATTTTTTGGTACATGCTATGAAAAATTAGGTGTGCTCTTAAGGATCTCCTAGGAGTTTTCTGCTTGGCATTTCTTTGAAAGTAATGGTATTTTAGTTTTTAACTTCTAAATCATTTCTTTGATATTCCTTTAAATTGTACATAAAAGTTTTTTATGTTATCAGTGGACGTAGTAATTAAAATTAAGGTTTTAGTTTTCGAATTTAATAGTGGTTACAGTTGTGATGTGAGATAGTTTGTTCCAATGGGATTACAAATTTGGTTGGACCATTACCAACTAAGGAGTTTATTAAAACTTTTTTAACAAATTAGAAATTTCCACACTTCTCTATTCTTCTTTTAAAGCTACATTCAAATTTGAGGCACCAACGATCAAAAACATTAACATGATAGCATAAAAAAATCATAGCAAATTATGTTAATTTATTAGATTATTAGATGGAAGTGTGACGTGACAAAAACATGTAAAGTCGTTTTAAGGACTTGTCTATTGGTAAAGACTTATTAAATCCCACAGACTCACCCGTCGAGCTTCTTTGGACGACCTCGAACAGAACGCATGCGAATTAGCACCGAAAGTTGAAAACAGGATTATAATACTCACTAAACCCGAAGTGAGTATACATATTACATAATGCATATAAAAAAAATACTGATATATACTATGGTCTTTCAAAAAATTATTAAAAATAATAATATTAATATATTAGTCTCGAATACTAAAAGTAAAAAGTTTTGTTTAATACAAAATTAAATTTAATATTGATTATTTATAATCTATATGTAAGCTAAATTACAACATTATTGTCAATTAAATATTGTTTTTAAAGTAAAACTTCTTTACGCTTCGGGGTAAGATTATGAAAGAGTTACGAAAAGTGTTATGAATGAAAGTGTGAGGGAGATATAAATTACTGGATAGATGGATGAATGGATTCATGGATCAATGGATCAATGCATTCACAAGAAGCGAAATAACTTTTACTTCAGATGTGTGGTCTAAAGCACATTGGTTTTTATAACTTATCTATTTGTAATGATGTCAAATGTTCAAAGTAATAATCATATTACAAATAGATATATACACAAAAAACAGACCAAAAGATAAGAATATTTTTTTATATATCATCTATATACATATTAAAATGTTTTCATATTGTTCCATTACAGAAATTACAAGAACTTCTTGCTGAGAAAGCCCGTTGGGAATCTGACTCCGTCATCAAAGAAGTTGACGATGAAAGTTCACCTTAGACATAAATCCTTGTACAGGATTCCGGATAATTTCATTTATAATGCTCATTTTAAAACTAATATTTTTAATAGAATTTGACTTAAATTATATTAAATTAATTCATTCGTGTTTGTAATGTTGAAATGAATTCTATTTAAAATATTGATATAAAATACATTTAAAAGCAATCATCCAGAAAAGGATATATGTGATAGAGCTTCGTATATTTTGCTTTACACTTCTGTATTCTTTGCCTATACATTTAAGGTTGTTATTTGCTTAGCGCTTAAAGAACAATTAGAACTACCTCAAATAAAATAGTATTCTAATTATTTGTTTATGGTAAGCGAAAAATCATATATTTTAAATATTCAAATAGGAGTTGAATGACATTTTGTCAAAGTGATAATTTATGGACATATAATTTTTTTTAATTTTTATGTTTCAAAAAACAGAACTAAATTTATTTCATTCAAAAAGGCCTAATAATAGTCTTCCTATTAGCTTCCATACCAAAATGTAATCAAATATTTTTTTAAATGTTATTTAATATGTTAAATATATTCGTTCTTTAATTTATTTATAATCTACAACTTATTACAAATTATTTAATTCTTCAAATTATTTACACTGCCACAATACTTTACATATCTTATTATTATTAAAATAGCTATTAATTCTTATATATAGACATTCGAATATAAAGTTCAAAATTTCTAACAATTTTTTAATTTGTAGCTAAATTAATTGACTAATGTTTATTTAACCTCAGAAGAGTACGAATATAAAACATTTTTTAAAAGCATAATCTAGTTACCAAATCCATGCATTATTAATTATTATATCTAAAATGTATTATACAATAAGATTGCTTTTGCTTTAATTGTGTCTTAGTTATAATAGTGATGCACATTGAATAGCAAAGTTTAGGTACAGCACTGCAATGTAAAGCGTACATTAATAAATACCAAGAAGGTTGACGTAATTACTGGATTTTAACTGAAAACCTTTTAAAAGTCCGTAAATATTTAAAGTTTAAGTAGCATAAATATAATTTCTATTTAAAAAATAGTGAATATTAATCATGAGATTTTTTAAAAATATTTTTAGAGTGCAAATCACATTACGTATAAGTAAAAGGTGAATTTATTTTTTGTTACTCTCTTTTTTTGTCTTGTTTTATAAAAACAGTATTGTTGGTCCGAATTTGCATTGTCACACTACGTTCTAAGAGTTCCCAAAGTGTAATGCAAGTAAGAATATAATGAACGACTGTTAATTGAAAAAAACTTCTGGCGCTCTGAATGTAGTGTAACGATGGCAACTTAGACTAAGCATAATAGAAATGAAAGTCAGGTGTGTAGGAAGCCCTAGAAATGTTGTGATTGCTTTTAAAAAGCTTTTTTTATAGTATTTAAAAAATATGTGTTTAATTATTCATCAAGAAGCATTTGTTTTTGTCTTTATTATACACCTTTCTCTGTTTTCTTGCAATAAAATAATAATTGTCAACACCTAATAGAGTTGTCACTTTTAAGCGCCAATATGAACTGTCAAATGATGTTTTAAAATTTTAATAACTCATATCACCCGCCTTAATTAAATTGCAACAAAACTTTAAATATCTTTATTTGGTGCCTTATCGCTGGATAGAAATTACGAATGTTGAAATATTAATATAAATGTTTAACTCGTGTGTCTTTCAAACATTGTCATGTATGTTTCTACAAATTATTATTTTGCTTTCTATACGTAGTTGTGAAATATTGTGATACGTTGCAACTTGTTGTTTTGTTTTGAAATATATCTTTATAATCTATTATAGACTTTTATTTATAAACTTACGAAAGTTAATGGGTTTGTAACGTAATTATAAATAAATGAAAAGAATACCATTAAGTCAGTGGTGGCCTAGTGGTTAAAAGGCCCGCCTCTCATGCATAAGGGCGCGTGTTCGATCCAGGCAAGTACCAATGTGATTTTTCAGAGTATTCAGACATCACTGATTAATGCATTCCTAAAAGAGGGTTGATGTCAGGCAGGTGGCCGGTAGTAAAAACAGCCAAAACTATTCACAACATGTAAGGCAGATTGGCTAAAGCTGGGAAATTGCCAGGTAGGAGAAGAAACGAATACCATTAAATAACAATTTTATTTCTAATCATGTATTTGTTTAACCGATTTAATAAACATTTATATATTCATTATACAGATTATTTCTTCATCAAGTTACAAATAAGTTATGATGTCGGAGTATCGTTTACTGGAAGGTTATTTATTAACCCACTTCAAAATAGGAGGAAGTTCTCATTTCATCACATACTTTTTTCATGTTTATTTTTTATATTTTTTATTGATACATACATAAACTATCTACAAAATATAAAACTAATATTTATAACGGGTGTCCCAACTAGAACGCAATTTTTAACTTTGGCGCCATTTTAAGCGTGATTGTTTGACATTTGAACAATTGTTATTATTTGCTTGTAGAAGGTACAAGGTTTGTAAAAATGGAGCGCTACACGAATGAACAACGCATTCTCATTGTAAAATTGTTTTACCAAAATGGTGAAAGTTTTGCGGCTACAGTTCGCAAATTACGATCATTTTGGAGTCACTCAAAAAGAGTCAACTGTAAAGAGATTAATGAATAAATTTGCCGAAACTTGGTCTGTTAGTGATGTAAAGACAACAACTACGCAAACAGTCAATGGTGTTCGATATCGATATCGTGAAATGATTACCAGTTTTTTCTTGCCTAGAATCGAAGAAATGAATATGGACTGCATGTGGTTTCAACAAGTCGGCGTCATACAGCCAGAGAAACAATTCAATTGCTGCATCAGTCATTTCCCGGTCGTGTTATTTCGCGTTTTGGAGACCAGAATAGGCCGCCGAGATCGTGCGATTTAACACCTTTAGATTATTTTCTTTGGGGTTTTTTGAAGTCGATGGTTTACGCGTATAAGCCGACGACGACTCAAGCCTTAAAAGAGGAAATTGGACGCTGTATTTATGAAATACCGCAGTATTTATGCAAAACGGTCCTAGAAAATTTCATTCAAAGTTCGCGCGTGTGCCTGCAAAGCCGCGGCGGCCATCTGCACGATATCTTGTTCCATACATAACCTCATTCTATCTACTTTACGATATAATAAAGTTTCACGATATATTTTTTTAATATCTGTGTTTTATTTAAAATTTAAAAATTGCGTTCTAGTTGGGACACCCTTTACATTGAATAATTGAAAATTTCTTAGTTAAACTAATAACTATGAATGTGATTCCAATATTTTTTAATTAGAAATTTATTGAGAAAATATGACAACAACTACCTTCACTACCGTAATTTTCACATGATTTGAATGTAACAAGAATAACAAAATTAAAATGTAGTCTTCAAATATACAGCAATAATAATTAAAAATACAAATTTTAATTACAAGTTATTTACAAAAATTTATGTAACAAGCAAGAAGTATTAAACAACACTACAGAAGAGATTTTAATATATTTAATGAAGTCGGCTTGAATTAATATTACTCCATAACAGAAAAGTATGGAGTCAATTTTAGTCTATATAGGCTATGCATTTCTTTACTATCCATAATTGGATCTTAGTAAGCCCTTATGTACAACAGAAGTTAACATTAAAGACTGCTTATGAAATGAAATATTATGAATTATATTCAGATATCTGTCAGTTAGTCTTTCACAACCTTCTGGACTATTCTGCTCACTTTCAAGTCTTAATATAAATAAAAACACTTGTCATCACAACTGCACTCAAATGTCATACAATCACTGTATATTTGTATTTGGTAGGTTTCATAAGTCCACCTTAGCACCGATATTGCTCAGCGGAATAGCTTGCAATTCGGTACGGAGACATAGAAATTCACCAGCGACGCATGTTATAGCCGCACAAGCTATATTCAGCGCCCACCAGGAGAATGTCGTGGGAAACGATCCATTGTACACCCAGCAGAAAAGTAAATGTATACCGTAGAAGGTGCAACTGGAAAAAATATGATTTGTTTGCATTGATTTTTGTATCAAAATATCTGATTCAGAAAGTTATAGGATAGATTCTTTGTATTCTTTTTCTCATAAGAATATAATTTTTAAATGTACACAATCTAGATTAGAATATAAAAAATAGATAGAATATAAAAATCACATTTTCTTACATCTGAAAAGTAATGAAAATGTCAAAATAAATGATTAATAAATATGTAAAAAAATTTTGTTCATTTAGTAATAGTCACTTAAATAAAGTTAATTATATTTTAGGCTATGCATAAACTAGTAGTAAATATACCTAAAGTCCAAGCACAATTTTGTTCTTCCGACTAGCATCCAGAGCATGAATGACCCGATAATAGCATTGATCACAAAAGCTGTTATAATCGCTCTTCCCTCATTGTCTTTAACATGTATTTCCTGAAAATATGAATTAATGAAAATTAAAAATTAGAGTCAAATTTCATAATATGGGAATGGCATGTAAAATGTCATGGAAAATGTAATAATTAATAAGCTCTCATAGCAAACAGAATAACAAACAGAATTTATCACTTTGAAAATAAGGGGTATTTTAGTTACTTCAATTTAATCCCTAAAGTAGAATACTGAATAGTAATGTAGAATATTGGAAATTAAGATTGGCTCTCCAGAGACGAACAAAAATTAATTTCATAAAATTCATTTCAAAGTTATATCAGAATTTTGATAAAATAAATCTTATATAATATTTTGTCTAAAAATAATGAGTAAATATGTAGGTCACATTATAAAACCAATTAAATAAAAAGTCTTGTACAGCTTCTTGTTTACAAAATAATTTTTAAATATATATTATTACAAAGTAACGGAAATTACGACATCAGCATTAAAATTGAATAATCTCATGTTACTTACATGATACTCAAACAAATGATCCAGAGTCCTAGTGGAAGAAGTCAAATCTTGCATTATAGCTATTATGAGACTGAGTGAGAGATACAAAACAAACTGCATTGCCATAATTTGAGAAATTATAAGACAAGGATCCCATTGCGTGTAGCGAAATGAGCCCGTTAATTTCTTCATTTTTGACATCGTTATCACAACTGGATGGATCAAAGTTAAGCATGTGTCGACTGTTCGTTTGTTTGGAAATTAACACCATTAACTCTTTATCATTTTATATAAAGTAATTAAACATATGGGTTAAACAACTTGGGTATCTTCATTTTGTTTTGTCAAACTGACAAAATGACTAACAATAAATACGTCAATGTCGTTGACACATCTAATATTTACAGATTATCAATCTACCTGAGATGAAAACAATAAATTGGTGACACATACATACGTATATACATCATATACATATACATTATATAGTACATAATTATGTTTGTGTCGAAGATATTACACGTCATCATTTTTAAAAAAAGCGACGACACCAATACTCTATGTTCTTGTTTTAATATTTGGGAGCTCATCAAATAATGGACATACAAAGACCTCAAAAAGAGGTACGGACAAAATACATTTATTTCCTATATGATATTTACAAATAGATAAATACAAAAACAAACAGTTATCACTAATATTATTATCACTAATATTATTCCACCAACCGATAAATTTAATTTAATCTATATTTACAAGATTTTCGCAATGATCCATCCTCTTTGATACCGATTGTCTTATTGTAAAACTATTCTATTTAAGTTAAGCCATATTCATTTTAACTTCATTAAAACTGTATTGCTTATTGAATTATTTTTAATACTACTCGTTAAAGTCTTAAATCTCATTAAAGAAGGATATATGAGACGATTTTTTTTTTCAAGGAACAATATAATTATTAAAAACTATTTAGAGGATTTTTTTTATTCTATACATCCCCATTTCTAGTAATCAATGAGTTTTAACTTGCTAATTTAGAAACATACAACCATTCCTATTAGAATCCCACCGATGGTCTAATACAGTCAAATCAAACTAGTTAGTATACCTAATACAATGTTCAATTTATTACCTACTAGGGATTTCTTTTCTCAACAATCTTATAGTTGTGTGCCGATTTGCCGAAGCTCTCGGCTTTCGCGTGCATGCTGAGTCGTTGAAGTATAACGTCGTATAACTCAAATTTTGAACTGTATATTAATCGGTAAATTATCACAAAACTTTAAAGAAATTTGAATGAAAATTATCACTTTAACTAATTCACTTGTCATATAGTTTCAGGCTTTATATAGTATCTTTTTGGGAATTTTTTAATTTTTTTCAAAATCATAAACTTTATTTTTCATGAATTTAAACAAAAAAAAAATATATAAAGTATGAAACATTTTGTTTTTGTATCCAAGAGACCAGCTTATCTAAATCTATGGGCTGCATAATGCTGCAGCCCATAGATATTAAATGTGCTTATATGTTTTCAATAAGGTCTCAGTAAGTTTCATTTTTTTTATTCCTTTTAAATCCAAAAACTACTTCTTTAAAACTCTTGCAACATTTTTATAGTGGCAGTAGAATTATTAATTTTAACAACAATAAATAAAGGTTTTTAAAAGCTTCAGATATTTTATCCAGCTTAATTTCGAATTGCTTCATGAGGCTTATTTTATTAAGTTGGTTTTGATACATATTCATGTTCAGCAATATGTTTAGATTTTACGTTTTGTTTCCCAATATGTAATTAATTTTTAGTGGCCAACACCGTTGGATATAGTGTTGGAGATTCCATTTTTTATCCCATAAACAGAGATATCAAGAATATTTTGTATATTCATCCTATAGTTCCATTAAGAATCCTACCATTTAAAAATCTTCAATGAATTTACTAGTTAAAATCATTATATTTCAACGCTTTTCGTAAGTTTTTCCACTTTAAAGTTTAAAAAGGAAATATTTGTGTTTTCAAAATACATTTTAGAACAAAAACTTTTTCCGAGTTATATGTAGTGTCTTAGAGTGACACCATTGACAGGTTGTGAAAGAAAACATCGTGAGGAAATCTGAACTTATAATTTCAAACTGTAAGTTTAAAACCGCAAATCCGCTATGAGCAAGCGTGGTGATTAATGCTCTAACCTTCTCCATGGGAGAAGAGTCCTTTACTCAGCAGTGGTAACCGATAGGCTAATGATGATGAATAGACCAAGACAGCGTTCTATACGGCATTAATCTAAATTTGGAGTGGTTATAAATAGAATAAATTTTAGGTCATTTTCAAGATCGTATAAGTGATTTAAATTTGTTTTTATTGATGCCGACTATTGTAATCATTAAAATTTTGGTGTAGCGGTTGATTTCAGTTAATTAACTTTCATTTTTGACAAATAATACACCAGCTAATGGCTCATTCCCATAAAAATGCACGTGACTCAAGGTTTTCGATATATGTATATCAGTTCTATAATGTTATTTTAAAGTTATATGTTAGAGGTGGTGGAGCCTAGCTGTGGTACGTCACTACGTACGTATAATGCTGGCTCGACCGGGGAAGTACCATGCTCTCACGGCAGATTTGCGTTAAGTAGCCGCAATTGCTACGTTTCGTCCGATGAGTGGGAAAGCCAATTGCCATTTTCAGATCAAATCAATACTAAATTAGATAAGTAATGGATACTCGTTTTATATAATGACTAGATATATTTCTAGTATTATGTTGGTGTTGTAATATTTTAACTTCAGAGATTCTATAGTGACTAGTCAAAGGAACCATTCGCGTACAGCTTTCTACTACGCTAGTATAATAAAAATAACACTTATTGTATGTACCGACAGCAAGACATTACAAGCATTTAAAACTGTTGCTAAAGTTTTACTAAACAATAAAGTTGAAATTATATTATTAATAATATATTTGATACATAAGACAGAAGTAATACACATTCATCTATTTCGTTTGTTTATTTTTATAAACAACATAATTTGGTAAAATCTATATATATAAAAAAAATATTTATAGTTAGTCTTATACATGTCCCTTATTATAAAGAGAAAATTTCATAGAAGTAAGTATGTATATTAAGCAGCCTAATATTTGATGAAAGTTTTTTTGAGCTCAATGGTGAATTACCTTCGATTAGCCCAATAAAAGAAAGATATGAAACTAAAATTAACTGGTGTTATATACCAGAGTTAAGCTTTCAATTTAATAGCCTTTGTATTAAAAGTCTTTGTATATTATTTTCTAAAACTTTTGATAAATATTTCGATATTCATTCCTTCCCCCGTTCTTGTTTGTTTGGCCACATAATGATTATGATCAAATTAAAAACAGTTATAATAACATGAAAGATAATGAACATTCCGTTATATGCATTCTAATTATTTTATGAAGAAAAGAGAATAATTCGAATAATTATTTAGTATAACTCAGATAAATGTTACAAAAATATCGGTAAATTATACTTTAGCCTTATATTTTATCTTCATACAAAGGAATGGAAACTGTTACTTATAATTTATCAGTTTTTATTATATTTATAAATTATATTATTTTCAGTTAGTCAGTTTATTAGTTTGTTTGTTTGTCATTCACTTAATCATGAATGGTTATATATATTTAAACTATAATTTAACTCTTATTACATATTAGAAGACCTGGCGAACTTCGTATATTTTTGGTTCTTCCCACATAGCTCCCTTTCTTGCGGGGTTTTCGGAATGGTCGAGTTCCAGTAGGATTTTCAGGATAAAACCTATGTTTTTTTTTCACAATGAAGTACTCTTAACCAACAACATACTTATTTGTTTATTTGAATAAAGATTAATATTATTATTAAACAAATTATTTCGACCAAATTAGGTACCATAACGGTTTTTGTGAGTTAATCTTAAAAGATAGACATATATTGTCGCGGACTGTTTTTTAGATCATTAAAAGAGCTATTATTCTTTAATACATATTTTTTGTGTATCTTCAACCGTTTTCATGGCGCACGCAACGGAACGCTTCAAAGATGAAATAATTTCTTCCGTTTTTTACACATTTACCACTATATCTTTGCTCCTATTGGTTGTAGCTTAATGTTATATAGCTCACAACCTTCCTCGATAACTGGACTATCCAACACAAAAAGAATTATTCAATTCGAACCAGTAGTTTCGGAGATTAGCGCTTTCAAACAAACAAACTCTTCAGCTTTATAATATTAGTATAGATAGTATAATGTTCACATTCATATTTGTAAAATGTATAGACCAAGTCGATGATTTCCATTTCAAAGTTGTTTATATATTTACTTGTTTTATTCACAGTTTTTACTCATAAATCTTCTCCTTTCTTATAAACATAAGGCCTCGGCCTCGAATTTTGCGGGCAGCGGAGCGGCGGCGGCGGCGGCACGGAAACGCATACTGTTCTCCAAACTAGCGGGCAGCGGGCACCGCTGTATTCGAGGGTCGGTCCATTTGATTATACGCGTAAGATCCTGCCGCTCCCGCTGCCGCTCCGCTGCCCGCAAAATTCGAGGCCGAGGCCTAAGTTATAGAAGTTGTTCACACAAGACTCAATAAGAATGAATAATTTTTACAATGTACATTGGCAATAAATGTACCTGATACACAAATTTGGTGTTGCTAAAATCGAAAGTTCGATCTTCAAGCATTATTTATTTATGTACAATAAATGTTGTAAGAAGTTTTTTGCCATAAACCCAAGTTATAGTCGGTTATTACTCTCGATTTTATTTGGGTAGAACAAGTTAATGTTAAGTCATCTTTTATATCTTCATATACTAGTGGCTATACTATTAAAAATATATATGTTTTATACTTATGACAGGACTCCTTAGTTACTCCTTTTTACATCGGCTATCTGCCGATGAATGTCTTGTTAAAATGGTACAGCTTTTTCAAAGATTAGCCAAGACAGGGAGACGAAGAAAAATAAAAAATAAATGTAGTTTCAGTATGCATGTATGTGTACATTAGTAATAATTTTATAAGAAACGATCTTATACATAATTAAAAAACTTAAACATCAATTGTTTAAACGAAAAAAAAAAGTAAAAACGATAAACTGTTAAAGACTTTTTGTTATATTTTGAGAAACATAAATAACGCTGTAAAGTAATTCGATTATTCTAAAATTT